TGAGCAACCTGCTCTAGCTGACTCTGCACTGAGCAGGGGGGTTGGACGAGACTAGATCCCCAGAGGTCCCGTCCAACCGCAGCTATGCTGTGATTTGGTGACTCTATGTCCTTGCTCTGAAGCAAGGAACGGCTTCCAGGCCCAGGGTGACTAAGTGTCCATGTTCAGAGCACAGGGAGGTAGTCAGGGGAGTGCTGGCAGGTGTCCTTCAACATGCTGCCTTGTTGCTAGCTAGAGAGACTGAAAAAAACATTTCTCTGAAATGGGTCTGAAGCAGCTGGCTCTAGCTCTAAATGCCACCAGTGTCTGAGCTTCCTTCCTGCCTCAGTTTCTTGACTGAACAGATGAGTGACTTTGGGTCAGAAATGTCAGCAGGCATGTGAGGGACTGAACACCCTTTGGCTTGCTCATAGCGCACTACCTCAGACTAGTAATCTGGTATTTGTCATGGGCTAGCTGTGCCTCTGCCTAAGGGACAAGCCTGTCTGTGCTGGTACCTTAAGGACTTTCTTCAATAGACACCAGGGCTAGGTTTCAGTATGGAGAGAGGTGGTCTTTTTGCAATAGGCTATGGAGAGCAAAAGGGGTGGGTCATGCTTCCTGAGCTGAGATTTTGTTAATGTTTTGCTCCTAACACCACGGAGCATAGACTAAGAAGAGGCCTAGAAGGCCAGGCTTTAGTACAGGCACAGAAAGATGGTCCAGCATCTTGAAATGAGAGGCCCTAGGGACTACAATTAGAGAGAGACAGGCAACTGTCTCCAGCACCACTGTGAGAGTGCTCAGGTTTGATGTTGTAGAAATACCATGGCATGGTTTGTGGCAGGTCTGACATGGTTCTCTCTGTGCATGCTGTGCTACTCCTGACTCAGGCTGTCTGTGGTTTTTCTGCAGCACTCAGCAATGGCCGAGAGCTCAGCTGTGGCAGTGGCAGTGACAACGGCACCAGCTGTGCTAGATGAGCTCTTGGAGATCACAGCCCAGAGCCTGGTGCGCATGGAGGTGGCTGAGCACTACGAGGTCATTCAAGAGCTGGGCAGGGGCAAGTATGGCCACGTGGTGCTAGTGACCCACAGGCAGCGAGGTGAGGAGCTGGCTCCACCACGAGAGCTCTTGGGCCTTGCCTCCTCTCCCCTTGGCTCTTGTGCCTTGCCTCCTGGGGACTGATAGCCCCAGGCTGAGCTAAATTGTGGTCCTAGGCCCCTGGGCAAGGTGTGTGGGGAGGACCCAGGTGCCGGTCAGAGCTGGTAAGGCTTGTTAGTGCTCTCAGGGCTCTGACACCACTTTTCCCCGGTATTCTCAGGTCAGACTTACAGGCCCATGCAGCCTGAATCTCCCTTCCTCTACGCAGTGCTCCTGCGGTGTGCGCTGACTGGCTCAAAACTCAAGCCGGTAGCAGTGCCCATTTTCATACTGAGTACCAACAGGATATATCTGTACAGAGTACCCATGTGAGGCCAGAGACCTCCATGTGGCTGTGAGTTTCCTGCCCCATGGCTGCCCAATGCCCTCTCTATCTGGTCTTGGTGTCAGTGGTTTTCAGGAGGAGTCTAACCCATTTTCCTCCTCCTCAGGGACTCCCATGGCTCTTAAGCTGCTACCAAAAGCCAGTACCAAGCTGCACACTTTTCTATATGAGTACTGTGTGGCACTCTCCCTTGCCACCCATCCCGCTATCATCGGCATGTTTGGAATTGCAATTGAGTCCAGCCAGTACTATGGTTTCCTCTATGAAGCGGCACTGCACAAAGACCTCATCTCTATCATCAAACCACGGGTGAGTGCTGCTACAAGGGCATGGGAACTGGGACTGTGCGACTTGGCCCCCGTGCAGACTGGCTGGGTCAGAGGGAGAGAGGAAAAGCGATGGGATATGGGTCTCTCACCTCGGGGGACTATAGCTTTGAACCAGCTTCAAGCTTGCAAGACCAGAAATGCCAAGGCCTTCCCTAATGCAGAGGAAACAGGTGAGAGCCCAGCTAGTAGGGCTGCTAAGATGCCATGTGTGTGCAATATTACCTCTGTCTGTCCCTGTGCAGGATGGGATCCCTGAACCAGCTGCGAAGCACTGTGCCAAGCAGCTTGCGAGTGCACTGGAATTCATCCACAGCCGAGGACTTGTGTACCGTGATGTCAAGCCTGAGAACGTGCTGCTTTTTGATCCCGAATGTCGGTGTATCAAGTTGACTGACTTTGGGCTCACACGGCCTAAGGGTACCAAGCTCAAACTGGTGGCTGGGGTAATCCCATACACTGCCCCAGAGCTGAGCAACACCACTGATGCACAGGGGCTGCCCATTGACGCCAGTTTGGATGCCTGGGCCTTTGGCGTACTTCTTTTTTGCCTACTGACTGGCTACTTCCCCTGGGAGCAGAGTCTGCCAGAAGACCCTTTCTTTGAGGACTTCATGCTTTGGCAGGAGACAGGTTTGGAGGCTGATCTGCCTCGTCATTGGAAACGCCTGACCGCTGAGGCTGCCCTCATGCTGCGAAGCCTACTGGCCCTAGATCCTACCAAGCGTGGTCCTGTCAGCGGGGTTTTGCGCTATGTTGATTGCCCCTGGCGACTGGAGGAAGCTGCTGTGAAGCCCTAGAGCATGCCCCCTGTGGGAGGAAGTAAGGCCAAGTGTCACCCTGTGAGGGTCTTACGGGCCTGGGGCATCACAACATGCCTCCAGCAGGCCGGGGGCAAGAGGCCGTGATGAATAATAATCCAGACAGCAACTGCTCCATAGTGCTGCTCTCCTGCCACCATGGAGTCAGGCTGCCTTCCCAGCTGATGATCCTTACCCCATGGCTTCCTGCCACCCAGTGCCATCTCTTTGTGCTTCCTTGCGCTTCCTCAGGGCTTGAAAACATCTGCGGCTTCTTGGCAATGACTATCATGACTATCATCTCCATCCATGTGTGAAACACCCACTCGCTTCCTGGGCGCAGGAACTCTGGGGCAGTTTCTAGGCTCTGCAGCACCTGTCTTGTCATAGAAACAGAGCAAAACATTTACCTTTGTATTCTTTATGTGGCTCTTTTTCTCTCATAATAAAATGCCTGCACAGGGCCTGTTTGCTGTGGGAGAACGGGGGCATGGCAAAGCCTGTGGCCATTTTAGAAAACTCTCTGCAAGGCAAGGGCTGCCCCTGAATTCTCCCTGGGCCCCCACCAGGGCCCCTTAGGGATTGCTTCAGGTAAGTGGGCTGGAGGTGTTGGGGAGACCCCAGGACGTTGCTGCAGAAAGTTATTGATGATGCTGGTAGGCTGACGGTGCTAAGAAGGTGGTATTTTAGTGGGTTTCTGCATGGATCAATAGAATGGAAACTGGTCAACATTTCCATCAATGATTTGAAGATAGATACAAAATCACCGCAGATGAAAACCATCAGATGACACAAACAAGAATAGAGCGGTAAATAGCAATAGGAGCAGGCCATTCAAACAGAAGAGATCTGGATAACTTGGTAAGTTGGGTATATTCAAGCAAAATAAATTTTCTTACAGGCAGTAGAAAGGTGCTTAGGTAGGAACACATAAGAATAAAAGTCATTCTTATAGAAGGACTCCTGAAGAGTTTTGCAAGACACAGAAGATACATAAGATCTTGTGAATTTTCCTTGTGATAGTCTGTCAAAAAAGGCTGATGGATCCCTTGCAAAGCTAAATAGGGACAGACATACAAGGTAGTGTGATCTCTGGCAAAGATAGCTAAGAAGATTCTTTGGTGGCCTAAATACGAGTGCAGGAAGAAGGACTGAGCAATCTGAGTTTGATGCCCTCAAAGGAATCCTGAGGATGATCCCATGTTTAAAGACATGCTAGAGAACTGGAGAAAAAGCAATCACAGTGGGGCTATAAAGAACACCTTCTTAAAGAAAGAAATGAGCTGGATTATTCAAAATAGGAAGATTGAAAGGTGATTTGGCTATGGTATATATATATGGTGAAGAAAATATCTGGTACTAATAAACTATTTTACTTTGAGAAAGAGTAACCATGAGAGGCTGGAGCCAGACAAATTCAGGTAAGCCACAACACTGCAGTCATGAAGGTTCTTGCCTACTTAAAGAAACTGTCATATAAGGAGAGGCTGAGAAAGCTG